CACTTCCAAATACAGGCAAAAATGTGATCACGACACACGAAGTTAAAAATAATAACGATATTGGCCAAACGTACTCAATAAATCGAGTAATCACATTTTCCCACAAACTAATGGGCCTACCACAAGGCACAGCGATTTTGAAGTCTTCAATTATGTGTGGGTACGCGTAAGAAAGCCCGATCGTTCGTTCAAGGTTCAAATTGAAACCTCCTATTGCTGCTTCGACGTAATTTTTCTCAATCCAGCCCAGCATGCCCGTGAATGATCCATTTTCCAGTCTCTTCCCGTACCTCATCGTAAATTCCTCAGTTCCCGTATAATGCACTAGTTCAGTTCAGCTGTTACGTTGTCCAGCTCCCTCCAAATTTCTAATACAGTATATTCAATGCCTTTACGCTCTTTAACGTTCATATAAGGCATGGAAGTGATTGCCACCATTTTGAAATGACAATTTTTAAGTCTCACTGGCACAGTTTTCTGGAATACTCGTTGATCTTTATAATCAGAACAAGTTGAAACAAAACTAAGGCGCTTCTCAGCAGGCTTATGGCAGGTATCAAGGTTTGGGTGAAAATGATATATTGAAAATTCTTTAATGGTATCCGTAACAGCAATGACGGAAATATTAAACATGTTTTTATAATACAAGTAATGTGCCATCTCCTCAACTTCTATCAGATAGGAAACGAGTATAATAAAATTTGCCCGTGGATTCCAGTAGAGACTATCGTCTAACATTTCCAGGCCATATTTGAACGTTTCAAAATTTTTAGATTTTATTATATATATTCCGTTGTAAACGTTCTCAAGTATTTTTTTACGAAAATCTCTTGAGCGGAAGCAGAATCCTTCTATTTTGAGGAGCTCTCTTCCAATGTGATGGTCAATATTCATGAGGCTAACTGCCACAGGAGGCATGATGTTACTTTTGAGTTTTTGTAAGACTTTGACAGCACATTTACTTGCTTCCCCATAATGATGGCTATCGTCATGTATTTTTAAAGCAATAACTGTATTTGTTATTATAAAAAATAAGCATAGAACAGTAGCGTACAATTTAGGCATGGCTGGTGTGGCCTCGCGTAGACTTAATACTGAACTACGACCAGTTTGAAAACGATGCACCCTCAAATAAAACATCAGTGACAATATTTACTTTGTGGAAATGTTACTGTAATGGCCAAAGTGATAAATCATCGTAGATCAACAATGGCGGTAGTTAGGACGCTGATGACGTGATTAACATAAAATCTTTCTTGTCAACTTGTCAATAACTATAGAAATAGCTCTTAACTTAGTCAGTACCTCATACATTTGAGGGTGATTTTGTGACAATCATCAGCGAGATTTTAGATTTGTATGCCCTGTCACGTCATAATGTCATTGTCACCCCTCCATTGCCGCTCTAATGCTCTATTGAACTGAATAATATTGATGTGAAATTAAATTTTAAGTAACTTATAATAAAAATGAGTTATTTTAAGATGCCATAGTATTCTCTTGATGTACCCTAACGTGGTCTACGTTTCAAGAGCTGTCAGGTAGAGAAATGCTTGTTTTATAATTCACCTGAATGAACTAGACCCCACTTTGTGTTTCATACGCCCACGCACCAAACAACATCACTTGGCATTTGAAAATGTTTATTTTCAGTAAAATAAGTTGTTAGGCTTGTTTGCGTACAAGTTTATTTCCCCCGGGCGGTTGGCAGTTCAGGTAAATAATACGAAATTCGAGAAGTTATTGGTTTGTTTGTGTGAATGAAGTTTAAGGCTGAGTTGCACCACCTCATTTTAACCGTAAAAATAACCGGTGCTTTTTGTATGGAGTTTGACAGATTTTTGACGTTTGTCAAAGTTAAAGTAAGATGGTGCAACTCAGCCTTAGAGTGTTTTACCCACTAACATGAGTTAACGTTAGAAAATAAGCAATGAAGAGAAAAGTGTAAGGAGAATTGATATAGAAAAAATATATATAACAAACGTTAAAAGTCTGTCAAACATACAAAACACCAGTTATCGTTATAGTTACGGTTAAAGTCAGGTGATGATGGTGCTGTTGTGTGACATGGTAGAAATGCAAAATAAAAACTTCTAAGCTGCAAAATTACTAAGTTTTTGAAGAAGGGTCATATTGTAATATGTAATTATACTTCTACTAAGCCTGCTTTGGCACTAATCTTACAATTTTAATATTACTATTATTGACCTTAAGTTACTTAGGAAGATATTTTAATATAAATTAGCTTAATAATGGAGTAATCATTTATTCATTATCTTAGTTTGAATTTCCTTTACCTAATCACTACAAAAGCAAGCCTAGGGCTAGGCAATAGGTATGATTGATGTAAGTTATTTAATATTTAAATGAAATTTAGAACCAAAAATATAGGGTGACAGTTACACGTGCTCATAAAATTTCATCCTTGTCACCCAAACAAGCGTGCTCAAACAATTCGAAATGAGAATGCTTATTATTAGCAATTGATCAATAGTGGCATGCTTTCGTGATAGTAATGAGCATGTACAACTTTCTAGGTAGGGTGATGTATTAGCCAATACATAGTTATTGACCAACTTGCCTAAAATAAAAAGAAACAAGCCTAATGGAAGTTATAAAGAGAGGAAAAGAGACAAATATTTTTTCTGAGCAATACGCAGTCCAATGCAGTAAATATTTTTGTCTCTTACTTATTAACAATACAATATACCAATAACTACGATATGTATAGGCTTATTATTATAGCAACCTCAATAAAAACGATGGAAGTAGATAACAATGTTAAGAATCTTTTTATGCCTACCACTTTTGTTCTCCGTCGTTCACTGTAAATTTTTAATAAATGGAAGCATTTCCTTTTGTGAGTTAAAGAGAATTTTGTATTCCCATGCGGCTGCTGACGCAAACCCGCAAAGTTAACACAAGCAATTTCTGAGAACATCAGCTCAATTGACTGAGAAAACCGTGATCAGAATCACTTCTGGTCCCCTGACTCAGTGTTCTTTGAAGTTTCATTTACGTTTCATTTTGTTTACTGAAGTTTTTTAGAAAATCGCCACGGTTGATTACACGGTTCACATGAAAATGGTTCGTTATGGATGCCTCAAACTAAAAATCATTTATTCTAAGGAAATCGATTCTAACTCAGGTAAGCATATGATTGAGTGTTGTTTCATTAAAAATATTCAAAACCAGCCAAAGATTTTTTTGATTTGTCAAACGGTGAAAGGTGTCGTACTCGAGATCCAAGGAACGCTGGTTTAAACCCTGTCGTCTACTATTGTGGTGAACTCACTCGTAACACAAGCATATTTAGCTTAGTACGGGGGGCTAACGGGACTATTAGTACCTAATTTGTGCGATTGAAATTACTAATTTCTTTGTTAAGAAAATAAATTATTTTGTCGCAATCTTTTTTCATTAGATTTTATGCTACCCTTTCGAATTATCCAACTGGTTTATTCCCTAATCCAGCGTTCCATCACTGCTACAAATTACAATTTCATCAAGTTAGATTCCCGATACGGCTGTCTGGCAGTTCGTTGGGCCACGTCTGGCACTGATGTCTGATAAAGCGATTAGGCTTTGGCTTTCTTTTGGCCGGCGATTAGCGGCTGATAGACGATAATAATTGATGAGGGAAGTCGAAGGGGAAACGAGATTAAGTTGATGAAGGTCTAGTGATTTTCGTTGTAGTGCCTGAAGTGCCTCTTTGATAAATTCCAAAATAAATGTAAAACTTCCTCTTGAAGTTTGATTAGATATCGATAGGTCAATGTAATCTATCTATATAAATAAAAATGAATTGATGTGCGTTAGTCTGATTAAAACTCGAGAACGGCTGGGCCGATTGAGCTGATTGGTTTTAAAATGTTTGTCGTAGTCCAGGGTAGGTCTGCAACCTAACGGTGAGCAAATACGCGCGCAATATTGTTTTTCTGTGACAGACAAAATTCCACGCGGGCGAAGCCGCGGGCGGAAAGCTAGTTTAGAATATAATTTATGATTGATAGCGTTTAGAAGCAAGGCTGAAAATGTTAGAGATTAGNAATTTCATTTCATCAGGCTTGATAATTTTCTGCACTAGGTTCTTGGTCTCCTCGCTTGACTTCATTTTATCAGCGGGGTAAATCGCCACTGAACTTACATTTTTGGGCTGAATAAAATTGTCAGGGCTTTTTCTAACCATGTCAGCAAAGGAGACTGCTCCCGAGATTGGTTTAGAGGTCACTTCAATTATGTTTTTGAGGTCTTGAACTTGCTGTGAAAGGTCTTGGTTTTCCTTGAGGGCCTGTACGTTACTATGAGCTTGAATAGCTTTTTGCTTCAGCGACTGGTATTGCACGGCCATTTGAGAAATGGTTTTCAAGTTATGGTTGATTTTCTAAAATATACTGCAATTTTTGTTAGCTTCCACTCAGAGATGCCAATCATTGTTTTATAATAGCGTGATAAAATTATTAACCTGCTGTGAGAAGGGCATTGGGTACCACCAAATTAAATCGATATCTTGGTGGACCCATGGATTAATAAGGAACACATTAAAATCTTGCGCGTAAATGCCTAATTTTGGTCAAAAAGCCAATTCTGTTTTTAAAGCATTTATGGATTTATTGGTTTTTCAACTATTTTAAACCTTGCTGTGACTCATTGTGTACCCTCAAATTTCATAAAAATGCTATTTTTGTATTATTTATAGTTTATGTTAGGAACTCCTAAAATAGCAATTTTAAAATTGTTCAAGGACAGGTAGAGGCCTCAAGATGACATATATCTAATAAAACTTAATGTTAATCGTAATCTATATGTCAAAACGCAACTTTTGATACCTCTTGCGTAACCGTAGCTCAAAAAAATTTTTTTCCCATACAACGACGGGACACCCTAATAAGCACGGAGTCGTAGTTGATAATAAAGACCTATACGTAAACTCCAAGCTTTTCTACCTGGAGATATTAGTCTAGTAGATGCAGACTACTGTTTATACATCAGGTACAGACCTGTAATAGTTGAGGACCTGCGCGAAGACCCCGGGGTGCCGGTCGAAGAAGTACTCGTTGAGCACGGGGTCGTAGTTGATAGTATAAGACCCACGCTTAGACCCCAAGCACAATCCATACGTGGAGACAGCAGGCTAGTAGATGCAGACTGCTGCTGGCATAAGCACGGAGTCGTAGTTGATAATAAAGACCTATACGTAAACTCCAAGCTTTTCTACCTGGAGATATTAGTCTAGTAGATGCAGACTACTGTTTATACATCAGGTACAGACCTGTAATAGTTGAGGACCTGCGCGAAGACCCCGGGGTGCCGGTCGAAGAAGTACTCGTTGAGCACGGGGTCGTAGTTGATAGTATAAGACCTATGCTTAGACCCTATGCACAATGATCCATGCCTGGAGACAGTAGACTGACTACTGCTGGTTTACACATCAGGTACTGACCTGTAATAGTTGAGGACTTGCGCGAAGACCCCGGGGTGCCGGTCGAAGAAGTACTCGTTGAGCACGGGGTCGTAGTTGGCCAGCGCCTCGGTCAAGCGCGAGAGGCGCGTGGCGGGGATCTTCTTCAGGGTGGCCTTGTAGGTCTCGTATCTGAAATAAAGAAGAAAGAATATTGTTAAGAAATAATGAAAACCTTTGGCATCATCATCAGGTCATTCAGTCTCCAGTACAGAAGCACGACCCTCTCTAAGTCACCTTTTTTTTTATTATCCACAACGAGGAAGCTCTTGGCCTGTATCTCACCTGATGGTAAGTGACGATCAGGCCAAAGGTGGAAGCGAGCTTCACCCGGAATCCTCAACCACGGAGGAACTGGCTATCTTACCTCTAACTGCCGGAACACAACAATGCTGTTAACATCGCTGGTATGGCGACAGACTTAGGTAAGATGGTGGTAGCTAGCCAGGCGGACTTAGAATAAGTCCTACCACCAACCAAACCGAACAGAAAATTCTGCCCCCACTGGGAATCGAACCCGGGACCTCTGCGTCTGAAGCAGGTGGTCTAACCACTAGAACACAGAGGCGGTCACTAGACCACAGAGGCGGTTAGCCTTACCTAGAGACAAATTGAGTATTTGGCCTTCACTCCCTACATTGGCCAGGCGGGTTGACGGGTATTTGTCCTAACTAAAGACCATCAATTATGTTATAATTGACTTATATTGGGGGTTTAAGTTGCAATTTCAAGGTTCTTATAGTCGAACTAGCGACCGCCCGCGACTTCGTACGCGTGGATCCCGTTTTACCCCCTTCATCTATCTTACGCGGTTTAGATTTTTTCATACAAATGTTTTTTCCCGCTAACTCCCGTTCCCGTGGGAATTTTGCAATATCCTGTTGTAACTAAGCTTTAAGTTTACTAAGGTACCTGCATGGCAAATTTCAAGCGTCTAACTTAAGCGGTTTAGATTTTTCATACAAAAGGATTTTCCCGCTAATTCCTGTTCCCGTGGAAATTTCGGGAATTCCTTTCTTAGTGCACCTTTACGGTACCTAAGCTACGTCCCTTCCAAATTTCAAGTGCCTACCTTTAGCCGTTTAGGCTGTGCGTTGATATGTCAATCAGTCAGTCAGTCAGTTTCTCCTTTTATATATTTAGATTTGACCTCGGCTTCAGATTCTAGACTTCTAAGTCAAGAAACCGCAAGTTTATTCCCTCATAAATACTGATCCAAATGTATTCAATTTTCCTAACAAATTCCAATCCAACGTACTTCGGAATCACGAAGCGTAAATCACGGACAAACTCAGTAATATTTCATACATAATGTCTCCTCCGAGTAAAATGGGAGTGATTTATTCTAAAAACTCGTCATCGCATTCAATGACTGTAATGAACAACATTTCTCAATATTTTCATTCCGTATAAAGTAATTTTTCCGTTTGTTGAGACATACAACAGCCACGAGCGAAGAGCTGGTGGAAAATTTGGGAATATTGTTATTTCAGTGTAAATATTTTGTACTGTGTAAATGAAAATATGTGAAGAAGAATACATGTACTGTGAGCATTTTTTACTTCTTTTTTTTCTACATTTAGGACACAATGAGGTCATAATTTGGCACTATTTCTAAATAAAAATAAATTTAGAATATTTACTTTAGTCTCCCATCCGTCACGTTTGTTCAGAGAGGATATTGTCGGCCAAATCCAGTCTTCTGCAATAGATACTATGGTAATATGGTAATAGAGGGTCATCCTTCCGTAATGAAAACTAAATTATCTGGGGAATAATGTGATTTATATTGGCAAATAATCATAAAATTTAATGTAACAGGAATGCAGGCCGCTACCAATCGGACAATATGAAAATTATTGGGAAAACCTATGTTCAGCAGTGGACATCATGTGGCTGAAATGATGATTTTACAATCATATTCCTTTACAACAACTTATTTCATGTAACATTATTAATTCTCAGCTCGTTGCTATTCATTTGTAGAGACAGTGTGTCAGACAGTAATCCGTAAATTACGGTAATAATAACTCATCTTGAAAAAATCCTAAATCCTCGGAAAGTTCTAATTAGAGCTTCTTTCTGGACTGAATTTGTCAGAGATGTTCTTAAGATGTTTTGAACTTCGACATTATGTAAAAATAGTAATGTTATCAAACAATTTTGATACTTGAAGAGAATTTAATATACTCGTACTTCCCTAGTCAAAAAGAATGTTGTCTAAAATTTTATTTCAATAGGACTTGAAAATATGTCAGAATTGTTAGATGTATTGCCTCTTTTCTCCTTCGTGCAATTACTAATGCTTGACGATTTTTTATGAGACCTTCATCATCATCATCTGCTCATTTGCCTCCTATCACATAAAAAAAAAAAAATCATCATATAAGCCACAGGACGTCCACTGCTGAACATAGGCCTCCCAATGACTTCCACATCGCACGGTTGTATGAGACCTTGCAATGCGAAAAATTGGCGGACAGAGCCTGACCTCTTCAACTCAAAATTATTTAAATGCTAACTGACAAACGGTAGATTTAATTAAATTTGTGTAAACTATCGAAATACAAACGTAAGCTTGAATAATTTGCCAAACCAACTCAACTGTTCTCTGAATAAATCAAACTTAACTAGACAAAGTTGTAGAGTTTATTCCAATAAAGCGGGTTTTAAATCAAAATCAAGGAAAGTTGTGAGGATTTAAAGAACATGCTAAATCAAGTTTGACATAATATATCCAATTATCGTTTATCTAATTGTACCATTTGATCAGTTAGCATGCCCCCTGAACTTGGCTACTGAAGCATTTATTCTGCCATATGAGACAATAATCTAAGTAAGGCTAAGAACTCATCGCGCGATTTTCACCCGCGCCCGCGGCGGTTGTGGAATTGCGGTTTTATTTCAAAACTCACGAGAATCTTTAACCGGTGTTTTTGCATGGAGCTTGACAGACTTGTGGCGTTTGTTATAGTAAAGTAAAATGGTGCAACCCAGTTTGACGCCCGTATTCACAAACGATGCTTGCTTAAGTGAAGCAGCAAATCCAACGCACAGCGTTAAATAGAGCTCTGTGATTGGTTCGTGTGTCACCCTGTGCGTCCACGCGCACTGTGAGACCTGATAGTAATGTTTGTGAATTCGTGCGTATACTGTCTTTTCCCATGTGGTTCAATACTCTTGGAAGTGTTAATTTAGAGAAGGTATTTGGAGATGTTAAGGTCATTTTTCTTAAGGACCTAACGACGTAAGAAATGACCTAAAAGTACACTTACAAACGTAAGCGTTTATAAAAGTATCCATCAACGAATTCTGTGGATTAATTTCGCCAGTATGTCTTTTAAGCCGAGCAAATGGGGTCACGCCCCGACATAATTCCTTACCTATCTCCTGTGGATCTTTCTTTATGAGGGGATGAATGTCACCAGCCCGTTAAATATTTAACTTGATGGGAGTAAAGATAAAAATAAAGGGTATGCGTAGAATTTTTGAGGAGCATTTGCATAAATTCAACATAGAAGTCTATGAAGGCAAAGTTTTTAATGCACATTTTTGTGATCTAACTTTTCCCATTGCAAAATCAAACACTATTTATGGAAAATGTTAAACAATCACAAAATTCTCTACGTCCAAAACAAAAGCCAAAAAAGGTCACACCTTTTCAGTCGATAAAATCCTTAAAAATGTACTTCGCCTCGAAGGAAGCGATAGTTAAGCGACCCTTGTCTTGAGTGACAGCAAATAGCGTCACGCTGTCACGCAGCTGTCAGCTGTCAAGCCTACCCACTTAAAACCGGTGCACTCTAGCATTAGCGAGTTCGTAACTGATACCGTAAACAGAAACCTACCTTGTCAAAGAGTCACCTATTTAGGAACAGAATAAATATCCTAAATAAATAAATATCCTTGGACATTTAACACTGCGCTTCTAGTCCCAAACTAAGCAAAGCTTGTACTATGGGTACTAGACAACGGATATAAACATACTTAAATACTTTTTTTTTGTAAATACATACTTATTATACATAGAAAACACCCGACAGAATGGTTTATTATTTGTTTTCAAATGACAAACTGGCGGGTTATGGAAGAGTACTTTTACATGTTCCAGTGTACTTTTGACTCTATTATGCAATGCTGAGGAGAAGTAGTGCATGTAACTTAGTCACTATTTTTAAGCTGAGTTGCACCATCTGTCAAACTCCATACAAAAAACACTGTTTTTTTTACAATTTCACACAGCGCCAGCTAGCTTAACGGATATAAATTACTTATGTACTTTTTTTTTAAATCCATACATATTATACATAGTAACACCCAGACCCATCAAGGAAATTAAAATTCATCATTTCAATTTCTGCCCCGCCGGGAATCGTACCCGGGACTTCGGCATAGTAGTCCGATCAGAACCACTACACCAAACGGCCGACAGTTACGATTAAAGTAGGTTAATGCAACACAACCTAACTCTCCTTTTCAATTATTTACATCACTATTGACATCAATATTGCCAGAGATTGCTACATACATGGGTGAGGGAGTTATAATTACATCCAAGTTCTCTCTTTCTAAGCCTAAATAAACCACGAAGGCGTGCCCATTATTCACGTGGAAATCAAATATGAATCTTTCCAAAACGAGATTGGATCCAGTAGGCAGAGGTGCAATAAAAAGTAATTATGGCCCAGTTTTGGGATGGCCTATAAAGGAGCCACAACAAGTTATCGTCCCGCCGAAACGTTAACGAGCGACTGACCCTTTTAGGGATCCGTGGGAAGGTTCTCGAGTGGATTTTTTTGCTAGAAATAAAAATTTTCGGGCTTTTTAAGCTGGGATAAGGGGAGTGGATTGGAGTGTGGTGAGTTGGAAAAATTTCGGGCACAGTGAGTTTGTTATTTATTTCTTTAGGTGACACTTTAAGGCTGTGGCGGTCAGTAGTACTTGTCTTATCTTTTAACAAATCTCGTTTCTATTTAGTTGAAGTAGTTATACAATTAAGTAAAAAGAAGATGAGAGTTTGATTTATATCTAAAATAGTCAATTCATTATGGCTATTAAGTATACCTCATCATCTCAGCCATAGGACGTCCACTGCTGAACATAGGCCTCCCCCATTGCTTTCCATGTTGCCC